ATGTGAGAATCAACTAAGAAGTCACATTAAACCCAAATACTATTTACCTGAATTCCAATTCAAAATACAATTCAATGTTTTTATCATTTTTTAATGTGATTATATAGACCAAAGAAAAAAACCTGTATATACCTTCATTCAAACTGATTGTTGTGGATTATTTGACAATTTCCAAGTCTTAGAAAAGAACTACAGATGAGAATTTTTTAAAAAAGTTAAGTTCAAAGTCATGACATTTCATTTCCTGATTCCCAATGTGGATCTGAATAAAAAACATTCATAAAATGTTGTAACTATCTTTCACTGCAACCAAGACAAAAGGTGTATGCACTTTTATATAACTAACTCCTAGCTTGGTATAACCAGAAATAGGACTTTTTTTCCCAAAAATTCATCCAAATTTTATTCTGTGATTTACTTAGAAAAAAAAACCTACACTCAAGTCATTGTGTGTGAATCTATAACATGGTCAGGCCACTAGAAGAAATGTAGGTTAGAATCTGGTCCATTTGCCATGGAGTGATTCAGAAAGCAAAGAGAAGGGATCGCCCACCTAGTTTAGCTATTCTACACAAAAGTAACCTATCCTCAGTTTTACATCTATGTGGCTTTCCTCAGTCTATAAAAAGTTAGGAATCTTCTCCATTTACACATCTGGCAAATTCTTCAATATTCTGGGAAAAAATAAACATAACTTTGTCTCAATATGTGCTGCCTTAAAAAGAGGTTGGGAAAAATATACAGTGAAAGAAATAAAAAAAATTCATGATTATTAACAATTATAGAACTATACCAAAGAGATACAAATACTGTTCTTGAAAGCAAAACTATGTGTAAGTCATAAAATAGATGTGTTCTGTACAGTAAGTAAAATATGGATTAAAGTGTATTAAGCAACCAAACTTTTTTATTTTGGACCTAAAACTAAAACGCAGTTATAGAACAAAAATTTCCCACTACTAAAAATAATGTTTTAAGGCTAAAATTGTAAAGTTCCAAACAGAATCTTGTCACCATCTCTTTATAGTATTAATAAAGTTCAAGGCCATGTCTACTGAAAAATTTTGGCAAGCCAAACTTCACAATTAAAATAAATATAGTGTCACGTGACTGGTCTTCCAAAGCCTGGAATTTTGACCTTGACTGAAGTCTTCCGAATTCTAATGCTATAAATAACCAGCATTTAGCTGAACAAAATATTAAACTATTAATTTTCACAGAATGTGGTTGTGGCTTTTCTTTTTTTTTTTTATTTATTTATGAGAGAGAGAGAGAGAGAGAGAGAGAGAGAGAGGCAGAGACATAGGCAGAGGGAGAAGCAGTCTCCATGCCCCTGGAGCCCGACGTGGGACTCGATCCCGGGTCTCCAGGATCGTGCCCTGTGCCAAAGGCAGGCGCTAAACCGCTGCGCCACCCAGGGATCCCCCAGTTGTGGCTTTTCAATGCATATGTCCCATGCAAATGTTTAGCATGGGCTTATACACTTGACAAATATTTATTGTGTGTCTACCAGGGCTAGGCCCCTTATCAAGCAATGAAGATATAAAGGAGACCAGGACCAATACAATGTCTCTCCTTACAGGGCTAAAAAAGCAGAGAAGACAACAAATAATTGCAAAAAGTCATCACCTAGGAGGAGAGGATAAGCAGAGGCATTTCAATAACTATAAAGTAAGGGAAAGCCTCCTGGAGGACGTTGAGAGGCAATGTCTTAAAAACAAAAATCTTCTGTTGGGATATATATATATATATATATATATATATATATACACATACACACAATGGAATATTACTCAGACATCAGAAAGGACAGATACTTATTGTTTACATCAACATGGATGGAACTGAAGGTATGCTGAGCGAAATAAGTCAATCCGAGAAAGACAATGGTTTCACTCATATGTGGAATATAAAGAAACAGCAGTGAGGATCATAGGGGAAGGGACAGAAAACTGAATGGGAAGTCACCAGAGAGGGAGAAAAACCATGAAAGACTCTTAACTATAGGAAACAAACTGAGGGTTGCTGGAGGGGAGTTGGGTGGAAGGATGGGTAATTGAATGATGGGCATTAAAGAGGGCAAGATGTGATGAGCACTGGGTGTTAGATGCAACTGATAAATTATTGAACACTACATCTGAAACTATGTATCATATGTTGGCTAACTGAATTTAAATTTTAAAAAAAAATCCTCAAGGCTATATTAACAGAACTGTATATCTGTAAGTTACTGCTATTCACGCCTATCAGTTAAATTCTGTATTCTCATACATGTACAGGTTAATTTATTGCTAGGCTTATGCTCAGCATAACATGCTGCTTAAAAGAGGTTTTATAAATCAAAGGTTCTTATAGCTTTAAAGCACAAAAGGAATCATTTCTACCACTTCAGGAAAATCAAATGAGCAAAATGAGTAAAGTGGCAATTAAATACTTCTGAAAAAATGGCAGACCTCATGAGTTTCTTTCAACCTCTTCCTCTCTTAACCATATGAAAATTACAATAAAGGTAATCTTTTAAAAAAAAAGATAGAGACATAAAAGAACTAAGAAAGAGAAAAGGAGACTAAAACATTCAAGAGAATTCATCAAATTTTTATAAAATGGAAGAGATGGAGGAATGATAATTGATGTAGGGGGGGCAGAGGCAATACCTGAGTACTGTGGAGAAGGAAACCAAAGGGAAATAAGCTGACTCAAGATACAAACCCTAGGAAGGATAAGGCCTTGGGGATACAAGGAGTTGTGAAGTCAGAGTAGGTGTTGGGGCTGAAAACAGAGCATTAGATAATAATACATAAGAACATCAATAGATTATCCTCCCTTTCCCCCCACAGGCTCTCACATACAGGCACATATGCATCTGCATCTAGATTACAGCTCCTCCACCCTTTCCTATTCTTTGGAGAAACTCAATGACACCAAAGAAAAGGACTTATAAAACACTTATAAAACATTATAAAACACTTATAAAACATTTTGGGGCACCTGGGTGGCTCAGTTGGTTAAGCATCCGACTCAAGATTTTAGCTCACATCATGGTCTCAGGGTTGTGAGATAAAGCCTGGCAACCAATAGAGTTTCCAAAAAAAGATCACGCCCAGTGTAGTGTATGCTTAAGATTCTCTGTCTCACCCGTCCATCCCCTCTCCCTCTCTAAAATAAAACAAAAACCAAAGAACACTGACATTTAGATGCTACTCTATTAAAAAGGCCAGATCACCAAATGAAAAGCCATTCTCACGTATAACTAGCTTCTGAGTAGCTCTCAAATATAGAGATGCAACAACCACGGATATGTGAGGAAAACCCTAAAAATGAAAGTGAGGGCTTAGAAAATCAAACAGGAATAAAAACGAACCTGGAAGAAACAACACAATGCTTGAAGTGGAAGACAATTAAAAAACAAAACAAAACTATGATTAATATCCTTATACTAGAAAGAGAAATTTAGCAGCCATAAAATAAAATAGAAGGCTATACCACAGGAACATTAGAGAACAAAAAATAGTTTAGAATTAAATTAGGATAGCAGAAACAAAACTTTCAATAGGACAGATGAAAGACAGAATCAAAGACATCACCCATTAAAGCAAATAAGCAAGATTAAAAAATTAGAAGATCAGAATTAGTTTAGGATCTGTCAGCAAGTTTAACTTCAGACTAATAGAGGTTCCAGAAAAAGAAAAAAAGAGAAAATGAAGGGAAACTGTCAAAGAAGTAATACAAGAAAAGCATATACTTTCAAACATGAATTTCTATATTGAAAGCAGTCTCAAGTTCCTAGCACAATAAATGAAAACACGCCCACAAAAAGCTCTTTATTGTGAAAGTTTCAATACCAGGGGTAAAAAGAGATCATAAACGTTTTCAAAGGGGAGGAAAGACTGATTGCAAAATGAATAACAATCAGAATTGTATGATTAGAGACTTGGGAAGAGTCAGAGGCCTCTGGTATTATTTGTAGAGGAATTTTTATAAACCCTAAGCAATTACACCATGTAAGTATAAATAAGTAATTAAAGGAATAAAATTACAAAAACAAATTTATTGAATGCTTACATGATAGATGTACAATTCTAACTATCCTTCAATTCTATTTAAAATGTATTAATTCGGGGATCCCTGGGTGGCTCAGCGGTTTGGCGCCTGCCTTTGGCCCAGGGCGCGATCCTGGAGTCCTGGGATTGAGGCTCCACGTCCCGGCATGGAGCCTGCTTCTCCCTCCTCCTGTGCCTCTCTCTCTCTCCATGTCTATCATAAAATAAATAAATAAATCTTAAAAAAAATAAAAATAAAATGTATTAATTCATTTAATTTTCATAACTATGAGGAAAACACCAGGAAGTGTGGTCTCTTAAAAACTACGTGATACTATGTCTCAACTTTAAAAGTAAAATTAATTTTAAAAAGAATACTGGTTTTTTTAAGGTAATATTGTTTTAATGCTCTCTACCTTCTTTTTTTTTTAAGATTTTATTTATTTATTCATGAGAGACACACACCACGAGAGAGAGAGAGAGGCAGAGACCCAGGCAGAGGGAGAAGCAGGCTCCATGCAGGGAGCCCCATGTGGGACTCGATCCTGGGTCTCTAGGATCCCATCCTGGGCCAAAGGCAGGTGCTAAACCGCCGAGTCACCCAGGGACCCCCTGGTTTGGGGTTTTGATGGATAGGTGATACCTGGCAGCAACCTCTGAGGTCCCGATGCATCATGACAGCATCATCTCGGTCTTCCCAACAGCTGCGTGAACCCCCCCCCCCGCCCCGACCGCCTGGCCTACGCCTGGTGTCACTCACTGGAGGTGCCGATCGGGGGCCGCGCGCCTCACACTGCGACAACCTGCAGTGCCCGCTGTCACGGCGGCCCACAGCCCCAAGCGCACCGGCACGACCGTCGCGCCTTCCCTCCCTCCCGGCGCTCAGGTGCACCTGGCAGCCCTTCCCTCGGGCGTCACCTGCGCCCCCCCCCCCGCCCGCGCACGCGCTCACGCACCTACCGTTTCCTTGGCAGCCGCGACCGGGATGGGCAGCAGCCCCCGGGCGCGGGGCGGGTCCTCCGGGTCCGCGGCCGCGCTGTCCGAGGCGCGCCCCGGGGCGGGCGCCCACGCGGAGTCGGCCCTCGGGTCCCCGTACAGCTGGTAGCACACAAGGCCGACCAGACCCCCGCCGGCCGCCGCCGCGATGCTCAGCTCTCCCCAGCGCCTCCGCCGCCTCCACGCCGCCTCCGCCACAGCCCCCTCTTCCTCCTCCCGGCAGGAGAAGGGCCGGCCAGGCTGGCCCGGGGCCGTCCCCGCAGGCCGCCCCCACAGCCCGGGAAGGGGGTGGTGGGGGGAGGGCGGAGGCGGCAGCCGCGGCGGCGGCCACAGGAGCCTCCGCAGCGCAGCCATTGCGGGAGCTGCCCGCACCGGCGCTGGGAGGGGGCGGGAGCGGAGGGGGCGACGAAACCTCGCGAGAAGTGGGTGTGCGGAGGCGCGAGGCTGTGCGAGAGCGACCCCTGCGACCGTGCGGCCCGGGCCCCTGCCGCCCGCCTGCCGCTGGGCGCGACCCGGGGTCTCGGGCGGCGGGTCCCGGGGAGGGGGCGGGGCGGGCCCACCGTCCCCCCGGCGCCCCGGAGCCCGAGTGCGCCCGCCCCGGGGCAGCACCTGACTGCGCGAGAAGCCGACACCGCAGCGCACGGCCGGGTCAGCAGACGGAAAGAGCCGTCGGTGCGGGGTCTGCGGGGCGGGAGACCGCCCCGGCCCTCGAGGGCGTCCAGAGCGTCCTGATCTTCAAGGTCGCGAAAGTTTTCGTGATTGCACCTTCAGGTGTCAGGTGTTAGCGTGGCCCAGGTCAGAGGCTGTTGTGACTGCACAGTGACAGCAGTCCAGGGGGGAAGGCTAACATTTTTGGGTTACAGTTAATTTTTGTTTAAGATTTTATTTATTTATTCATGAGAGACAGAGAGAGAGAGAGAGAGAGAAACAGAGGGAGAAGCAGGCTCCATGCAGCGAGCCCAACGCGGGACTCGATTCCGGGTCTCCAAGGTCACGCCCTGGGCCCAAGGCAGATGCTCAACCGCTGAGCCACCCGGGGATCCCCTACACTTAATTAATGTTTTTTGAAGAAAACGTTACCATGCGTAGGGTCACCAATTCAGCAAATTAAGTGCATGGGACGCTATTGGTATCAATATGAAAAATAAGTGTGACCGTGTCAGCTTTATTGTTGCGACTCCTGTTTGCTACCCTGTCAGTGTCACTTCCATGAGAAAGTATATGTGGCATTCTTCCCGGTTTCCTACCCCTGAGCCCAGTTTTGGTTAAGTGAGTAATGCTAGCTTTGGTCTCTGCTCTGGAATGGTGCTGGGAGCTCCTAAAATATTGTGGGTCTAGGGGTGGGAACTACAGAATCCAGTTGTCTCAATTGAGCTGCAGTCACAAGGGAATATGACTAAGGGCAAACAAAATGAGGTTTTCTGACCTAGATCCTGCCAGCCCCTTGCCTATAGGTAATTCATAAGATAACACCTCAGTTACATCTCGTTTTAATATAGGTTATTGGAATTTTCACTGAAAATGGTAAACAGAAAAAACCCTATGAACAAAAATGTGCTTATTTTAGGATGCCATCTTTCTGTTTCTTTTACTTTTATCCTGTTTATATATAATCGATGCCATGAGGAAGACCCACTAGTTCCTTGTGTTCTCACTAAAGATTCCTCACATTTCTGTCTTCCCTGAATTTTGGAAAGTTTTAGTATTCCCAAAGAAACATTTATTCTCTGGATATAATATATATATATATATATATATATATATATATATATATATATATATAACACAGTCCTTCTTCTGGCATTGTTTACTTTGAACTCAACACAATTTCCAGATTTACTCATAAATTTCCAACATGGCCTAATGACAAAATTCTTGGACAGACTGATGAATTTTTATTACTTGCATATTAAAAGCTGAGTAGCTCTAAGGAGAATTGAGGAGGTAACACAAAAGCATTGTATTACAGATCAGGAAAATGACAGAAATTCTCCATCTGAGATGGCTTTCAAATAAATATGTATTTTCTTTCTAGTTTAAATAGATTGAATGCTCTCCTGCAAGTCATTTCTCTGGCTAGAAACCAAGGTCTGCTGTGAGAGTTGCTGGATAAAGGTTTGTCAAATACAGAGCTTTGGATAAAGCTCTCTCTGTATGCAAAAGTTGATCTAATTATAACTTTCCATAGTACTTTTCCTCTAAAAGCAAAATTTCCTTAAGAACATTGCTTTCTTCTCATATTTGATGCTCTGTGACTACATAAAAATAACCATATTCCTTTAGTACCTGTGTATTTTAGAAAGTTTACTTCTCGGGAAAAATTATAGGAGAACGATAGTAGGAGTTTTGGACTTTTTGCAGATTAAAGATAATATTAGATCAATGTAGGTTTAGTCCAATTTCCTTCAACTTTTATGTCAATTCCCTTGCACATTAATAACATCCAAGAAGTGTCCCTATTCCACAGTGAGAGTCAACAATTCACTTTTGTTCACTATGGTCTAAGTAAAAATAAATGCTCTGGAGCATTTTAAAATGTTACAACAGCAAGAATAAAGCCAAAGAAGTTTTTACAAGAAAGCATATTTATCAACATAGAGTGATAAACTAGGCAGCAAAAGATTTGGACTCTTGGTTTTGCTATATAATTTTGCTACATCCTTGCATAAACTTACAATGTTTTAGAAGTCACAATTTACTATGAAATAATGAAATTGAATAGGTGGTCACTTTCTGAACCCATGGTCCTTATACACCAAAATGCTCCAAGCTTACCAGTAAAGCAAATATAAATACTTTAGGATATTTTTCACATATAATTTCTCTTTTAAAAATCTATAAATGCCTTGCAATTGCTTTAATTCTTTCCTATTAAAATTCCATACTATGACCTAATTATTTTATCTTTTCACTACTTTTTTTTTTAAGATTTTATTTATTTATTCATGAGACACACGGGGTAGCGGGGAGGGGGTGGCGGCAGAGACCGAAGCAGGCTCCATGCAGGGAGCCGGATGCGGGACTCAATCCCAGGACTCCAGGATCACGCCCCGGACACCCAAGGCGGCGCTAAACCACTGAGCCACCGGGCTGCCCATCTTTTCACTACTTTTTAAATTGCAAATAAACAAGTAACTGTTATATTTTGAAAATGTGAAATCTAAATGTAATATGTGTCATGCCTAGGCAGAAATATCTTGTTTAACAAAATTCTTTTTTTTTAAAGGGTATTTTTTTTGAATTATTTATTTATTCATGAGAGACACAGAGAAAGAGGCAGACACAGGCAGAGGGAGAAGCAGGCTCCTTGCAGGGAGCCCAATGTGGGACTCGATCCCGGGACTCCAGGATCACACCCTGGGCCAAAGGCAGGCGCTAAACCGCTGAGCCACCCAGGGATCCCTAACAAAATTCCTATTAAAATATTCTGCTTATATTAACCTGAGCACTGGAACCTTGACTAGCTAAAAAACGGAGCAGAGCACTTGGGTGGCTCAGTTGGTTAAGCATTTGCCTTGGGCTCAGGTCATGACCCTGGGGGAGCACCAAATCAGGCTCCCTGCTCAGCAAGGAGTCTGCTTCTACCTCTCCCTCTGTCCCTCCCCTACTTGTGCTTGCTCTCTCACTTGCTCTCTCTCAAATAAATAAAATCTTAAAAAAAAAAAAAGGAGCAATTATATCTAAGGCCCTACATCAGAGCACATGAGTCCCCTACCAACAGGTGCACTCAATTCTGATGAGGGGAAGTTACCAGCCAAAGAGCAAGGCTGCAGCAAGCCCCCTCTCTTGGGAAAGTTGTCATAAATATTGTCCTCATCTTCAGCACTGCCTTCCTCAGGGTACAACTGGCAAATTCAAAGGAGAAAGTAGTGGGGAAGAAGTGTTATCTGGAGTCACAGCTTTTTCTAGGTCTTTTGTCTTTATAGGGCTAGCCACTAGAAGTCTGGAACTCAATTCTTTAGTATCCAGGGTTATGAAAGTTACCCAAGGCACTGAGGGTCTGGTGTTTTTTTGTTTTTGTTTGTTTTTGTTTTTACTATCTTCCATCCCTAAAGACAAATTGACAGTGGCTTGTCTCCTGCCCTTCTCTCTTAGTGAAAACTAAGCTGTATCTAAGCTCCATTAAGCCAGAACATGTATTTAGCCCTGTGCAGGCACATAGCAGGACCCCAGGAAATGTTTATTAAATGGAGAAGGGAAATTTTTACTGTTGTAAGGGGAAGAGGCCAAGATGGGAAGACAATTCAAGGACAAGGAAATAAAGTAGTATATCAAAGGCTAAAGGAGCTGATAAACCAAGTGGCACATTTGGAAATGTAATTAATGCAAACAGAAGGCCAAAAGGAGAATGCAAAGGGTTGGCAAGGAAGGATCAGAGATAGAGTATAGTTGTGGAGAAGGGTTGATTTGGAAACAAATTCTGTGATTTTTTTTTTATTTGAAGCCATCCTTGTACATATCATATTCTGGTACAATCCTGCTGGACTTAGAGCCTTAAAGCAACAGGGGTTCCATCAGGTTCTTTTGATCCTCTGAGGAATCCCAACATAATCCATGGCTGAAGGTCAGTGAGTAGAGCTTGACATTTGCCTTCTTGTTACTACATGTCTCACTGGTGACAACAACCAAGCTGCCAGTTGTATACATTTAAGTTTCTAGTTTCAAGACAAGTGATAAACCTACTTTGACCATTACATCTGTCCAGTCTGATTTATATGATTTCTGACTTTATGTGATTTTCAGAGTCTTTGCTGACACTGTATCACTGCTCAATTCTTGCCATTTGTCCCTCATTTGGTGGCCAGAACTTGTCTTTTTATGTATTTGGGAAACACGGAGAAACAAGCATACCTCCTATTAGCAAAGCCTCATTTTTTTTAAATTTATTATTGGAGTTCAATTTGCCAACATATAGCATAAGACCCAGTGCTCATCCCGTCAAGTGCCCCCCCAGTGCCATCATCCAGTCACCCCAATCCCCTGCCCACCTCCCCTTCCACTATCCCTTGTTCGTTTCCCAGAGTTAGGAGTCTCTCCTGTTCTGTCTCCCTCTCTGATATTTTCACTCATTTTCTCTCCTTTCCCCTTTATTCCCTTTCACTATTTTTTATATTCCCCAAATGAATGAGACCATATAATGTTTGTCCTTCTCCAATTGACTTACTTCACTCAGCATAATACCCTCCAGGTCCATCCACGTTGAAGCAAATGGTGGGTATTTGTCGTTTCTAATGGCTGAGGAATATTCCATTGTATACATAGACCACATCTTCTTTATCCATTCGTCTGTCGATGGACACCGAGGCTCCTTCCACAGTTTGGCTATTGTGGACATTGCTGCTATAAACATTGGGGTGCAGGTGTCCTGCCATTTCACTGCATCTGTATTTTTAGGGTAAATCCCCAGCAGTGCAATCTCTGCATTGTAGGGCAGTTCTACTTTTAACTCTTTGAGGAACCTCCACACAGTTTTCCAGAGTGGCTGCACCAGCTCACATTCCCACCAACAGTGCAAGAGGGTTCCCCTTTCTCCACATCCTCTCCAACATTTGTTGTTTCCTGTCTTGTTAATTTTTCCCCATTCTCACTGGTGTGAGGTGGTATCTCATTGTGGTTTTGATTTGTATTTCCCTGATGGCAAGTGATGCGGAGCATTTTCTCATGCGCTTGTTGGCCATGTCTATGTCTTCCTCTGTGAGATTTCTGTTCATGTCTTTTGCCTATTTCATGATTGGATTGTTTGTTTCTTTGCTGTTGAGTTTGGTAAGTTCTTTATAAATCTTGGATACTAGCCCTTTATCTGATATGTCATTTGCAAATATCTTCTCCCATTCTGTAGATTGTCTTTTAGTTTTGTTGACTGTTTCTTTTGCTGTGCAGAAACTTTTTATCTTGATTAAGTCCCAATAATTCATTTTTGCTTTTGTTTCCCTTACCTTCATAGATGTACCTTGCAAGAAGTTGCTGTGACAAAGCCTCCTTCTGTGTGAAAACAGGTGAGCTTTCTCAGTTGTCATATCCTGTTTTCATGCCTGATAGTGATTAAAACTTCTATGCCCATTATAAGCTGTCTTCTGGAAAAGAATAACCTCAGAATAATATAATGATCATCCATTATACAAGATGACAAATAATACAATCTTTCTAAAACTGTTGGCAATAATAACTAGAGTTGAACATGCATATACCCAATGACCCATCAATTTCCTTTCTAAGGTGAAATACTCAATAGCAATGAGTATTTATGTGCAGCAAAAGACACACAGAGGGATAGTAGTAAGAGGCCCAAAACTAAAAAGTATCCATATGTTCATAAACAGTGGCCTGGATTTATTTTTTATTTTTAATATTATTATCATTATTATTTATTATTTGGGTTTGTTTTTTTAAAGTGTGGTATATTCACACAATTGCATGCTATATAGCAATGAAAATTACTGAGCTGCAACTATATGCATTCACATGGTTAAATTTCACAGAAAGTTGAGTCAAAGAAGGCAAAGGCAAGAGAACAAACTATACTATTTCATTCATAATGTTCAAAGACAACAACAAATATATACATATGTATATATGTATACACACATATCTATACTTACATACACACATACACAAACACACAGTTTAGTAAATCATGATAGTGGTTTCCTTTGGTACAGGGTAGTAACTAGAAGGGGGCTGGGGGCAAAGGACGATTCTAGAATTCTGTTCATATTTTATTTCTTGATCTGCATGCTGAGTAGACAGTGTATTCACCCTGAAAATTCATAAAGCTGTCTACCTACAATTTGTAAGTGGACAACCTTTTAATGTATGTTATAGTTTACTAAAAAGTTTATATAAAATAAAAAGTAGATTTTCTTCCTAATGCTCTTATATGAATGTGTTATTTACTAGAGGACTTGATCAGTTATGAACCGTATGACTGAGAAAGAATGTACAAAGTTTGCGAAGAGTTAAGAGCAAACATTGATTGAAAAGTTGGAAATTAATGGAAAAGGTAATCTTAATATAGCCTAAACTAAGATGCTTAGTAGATATTTTTCTCATTCACTAAGAAAATACCAAAAAGAACTTGTTTTTTTAAGCAACAACTTAGTGTTTTATCTTCTTCGACCTGTAACATTTTCTCCTGTAAAATGTCCATATGGACAGACCTAGTATATCTGGTGGTACAACCAATATACACCCTTGTTGCTGGCTCTAACCCCAGACTGTCAGGTGTTAGATGGGAAATTGCTTTAAGGGCAGATAACTAGGGATGTCTGGGTGGCTCAGCGGTTGAGCATCTGCCTTTGGCTTAGGTCGTGATCCCGGGGTCCGGGGATGAAGTCCCACATTGGGCTACCTGTGAGGAGACTGCTTCTCCCTCTGCCTATGTCTCTGCCTCTGTGTGTGTGTATGTCTCTCATGAATAAATCAATAAATAATTTTTTTTAAAAAAGGGCAGATAACTAGACAGAAAGGCAGCCTTCAGAACAGATGGCAAGATTAGCACCAAGAGGGAACCATTAGAGAAATCAAACATAGCATAAGGTTAAGTTCACGTACTTCCCTGAAGAAGCTTATAAGGATGGCAAACCAGTTTCATTTCTTACCAATGCCAGTTGATTGGTACTGGCTATCCAGAACACTGTGCTGAGCAAAGTTTTCAGATCAGGTCAAGAATTCACAGGAAAGGGATCCCTGGGTGGCGCAGCGGTTTGGCGCCTGCCTTTGGCCCAGGGCGCGATCCTGGAGACCCGGGATCGAATCCCACATCGGGCTCCCGGTGCATGGAGCCTGCTTCTCCCTCTGCCTATGTCTCTGCCTCTCTCTCTTTCTCTCTCTGTGACTATCATAAATAAATAAAAATTAAAAAAAAGAATTCACAGGAAAAAGTACATTGATAGATGGGTATGTCTGCAAAAAGTAGGCTATCAGATTGGTCTGAGCTGTGTTATGGGACCACCTTGGTTTCCTTGCAACTCTCCAATCAGAGAAGACAGTGTAAATAGTAGAACAGAAAAACTGGAAAATGTTTAAATGTTTCCATAACACACATGTGAACATTTTATATTTGCCCCTGAAAAATTTAGCAGATGGAAAAGAATTTAGAGATAAATTAATCTGGAAAATTTGTAAACTTTTTAAAGTTTTTAGGGATAGTGTGGGGAGTCCTTAGTGGAACTGTCAAAAGAAATCTGATACAGAAGCCCCCAAATACATAGTAAATAACGGAAGAATGTTTCTAGCTGAACACAGGAGGGTGTTTGGATCCTTTTCCCTTAAAGCCTCCCTTTAAACTCCCAAGGCTAGTCCTGAAGCATTTCTGTAGAATCTAAGGGCCTAAAAACCACTAACATGTATGCAGTTTTATTTTTTTTTTCTGATGAGAAAATTGAGAGGCTGTCAGGTTAACAAATTCTCTCTGGGTCTCACATTCAGGACTTGTGTTTCAGTATTCTGTCCTACTGCGTAATTCCTATTTTGGAATCAGAAATAGAACTTGAAACAGTTGTGTGTGTGTGTGTGTTTTAAGGCACATTAGCTTGCAAAAAAATGGTATTAGCTCAAATAAAAGATATTTTTAGGATAAAATCATATCGAGCCAGGGAAGAGTGGTACTGATCTTAGGAAGTCTGATATGCAGGTCAGCTCTAGAGATCTACACGGTAAGAGTTCAAGGACATTTATTCTACCATACTGCTGTGAACATGACTTGACTACTAATTCCATCATTCTCTGTGAATCTTAGTTTAGGTTCTAAAGAGAAAACATTGACTTGGTGTGGCTATGGTGTGTTTTCTACCTTTGTTAGTTTCTCAGCTGTGCCTGGAAAGAAAAGGGTTGAGTCACAGAGGAGCATTTTCTAGCTTTTCTGTTCTATTATTTCTGGGAAATAGGGAGAAGAGCTTCTCTTAGAAGGTCCCATGGGCTTCAATGGTGTGCTAGTGAAAGTTTAACAATGAATTCTGGGGTAGAAGAGGAGAAGAGTTGTGATTTGCAGCATTTATAGATTTCCATGCTATGAATACTCTGACCATGGCTGATGCCAAGCTACCTACGTGACAAAGATGCAGTAGCACATCATCATATAGAATCTCCACTAAACACGCAGAAAGATAGAATAGGTATAGGAAAATAATTGGGAAGTGATAAGTTCTTAGAACTCATTATCTTTGATTTTAAGACAATTTATCTGATTGTAAGTTTACATATTTTAATTTTTTTTTCCAAGAGCTGAACTTTATTGCAAGCACCCTTGGGCGAGGTTCCATGACTCAGAGAGAGAGAGAGAGTCGGGCAAGTCACAGTGAGTTGGGGAAGTCGCCATATTTTAATTTTTAATAATGTCTCTATCAGCTGGCTCACTAAATTCCTGAAAATTTAGTAATCAGTTCTATTGAACTAGCTGGCTCCAGGACACTACTAGCAGGTACTTAACAATTATCATATCCATTAGAGAATTTGGGAGCTCTTGAAGACCAGTGTTTGAGACAAGAAACAAACAGTATGAGTAGGACATAAGAGTAAGCCAAAAAAAGATCTGAATGAAAAATTTACCTCTAGCTACGAATAGCTAATTAATTTACCCATCCTTTAGTCAATGTGGGTTAACAACCTTCCTTCCCTTCTAGGGGTTGTTAATTAGTTTCAGTCAACCTATATAGAGATGTTACTGTACTCTTTCCAATTAATTATATTTGCTATTCCAAATACTTGAAGTTAAAGAATTATGTCAGGTCTGGATGGGAAAAAGGACAATCCAGAACCAAGTGGAGACTACTTTTTTTTTTTTAATGTTCTCCTTTTCATTTTTAAAAAATTTGAAGTCTAGTGGACATACAATGTTACATTTGTTTCAGTATACAACAGTGATTGGACTTGTCTGTGCATTACGCTGTGCTCATCACAAGTGTAGCTACATATGTTACATACAACCTCTCATCCCCATGACTTAATTATTCCATAACTGGAAACCTGTTTTTTTTTCTCCCACTCCCCTTTACCCATTTCACCCCCCCCCCCCCCCCCCCCCCCCGGCAACCATCAGATTATTCAGGAGGAAACTATTCTTTTTTTTTGGTGGTGGGGGAGAGACTAGTGTTGAGCTGAGTCTGCAGCTCCCAGCTAGAAAGCTGTGCTTTTAACAACTGATACCCAATAGGAATCAGCTCTGATCTCACCAGGTCATTAGGTCTTGCCTATGCTAATGTTAATCCTTAGCTTTGATTAAAATATTTCAGCAGGATGGTCCTTAACCTCCACGTGTTTGAGGTCCTTTTACAATACAACAATATAATGCATCTAGATAATATTTAAATTTATTACACCTAAAATTTCTATATTGTCCACAGGAAGATAGTCATTCTGAAGCCAAAGTAATCAACAAGTGATTTAGGTCACTATGCATCTTTTTCTGTTAAATCAGTTTGCCTCAAACACTGGAGACTGATCTGAAAACAAAAAAGTCTGAAAATATAGGTGTTCATAAATCCCCTGGCGACTGAAGCATATCAAAACTCCTGCACTTTGGAAAAGATTCCAAGTTTTTCAGGAATGTTGCACATCTTATGTTCAGGAACCTGTAAACCTCAGACCACCACATCAAGGGAAATGAAGTGAACCTTTCACTTGGAAATAAGACTTTATAGAAAAACCACTAAATGAGCTACTCTAACATCATCATGCAGGTGCATGGGGCTCCTTAAACAAATTATTCCAGATTAAGTAGGCCTGTTCCTCCATCCTCCCAGTGTTATACAAGGAAACCATGTTTGATTAGAATTTTATTGTGTGTGGTATTTGTTTCAGGGCACATGCTTTGATCAAAATCTATGTAATGGAGGCCTGTGTTCTCTGATATTTAAAATTAATCATTGAACTCTTGGCTATGACTAAATATAATAATTACACTGACCTATTAAATATCTATGTGCCTATAAAGAATTTGTCCCTAAAGTGAATTTTAAATAAAGAGAAACATCAAACAATGATGAAAACAATATGTGAAACTCAAGATCATTATCCAAACCAGGTGCTTTTTCAAACTTAAAATGAACCAAATGAGGAAGAAGGATGAGCTAAAATAGGGGTAATAGAGTAATTCATCATTAAGTCTTTTAAAAGTGGAAACAAATGAGAAATGAATCTCAGAACATTGTGTGAATGCTCTTTGTTCTTCTTTCCAAGTTGCTAAAATAAAATTAAAATTTCTCCAATAATTATGAAGGACTCATATGATATCTAGCTAGAAGAGGTCATTAGGCAGTTAAAAATTTGGAACTAGAGCTTTGGGAGTGATGTCTTAAAGGTGGTGACTGACCATTACACAGCTTTACACTGAAATTTAGTTGGGCTTTAAATGTGATATTAGTAAAAAATATCATACTTTGAAAGCTTACAAATACTATAAGTGGATTATGTTAGAGTAAAAAAATTGTAAGTTATATAGCATTTACATAATGGGAATTTGCAGATACATCTATGAAAATATTATGTTTAAGAGAACTTCAGAAGTTAGAATCTCATGTATATAGATAAATATCATGATCTACATATTTATTTTGATAAGATAACAATATTTGAGTTTCATAATTAGAACCTTCCTTATCTTCTTTAAAACTCTAATTTTAAGAAAAGGAGAATTTAACTGATTTGAAGAGAGAGGTTTTTCTCTAAAGGTTTGTCTATAATTAGTCTATAAGGCAAAGCTACTAAATTTTATTTTCCAATTAAATTTAACCTTGAAATTTGGATAGCAGTCATAAAATTTTAGATTGAATGGGACCATAGAGGCAATTTAGTCTGAGGTCTGTGTTTAGATAGGAGTAAACTAAATGGAACGTGTCTTACCAGGAGATGTTTTCTGATCTGGCTTTTGTTGGCTACCCCTCCTTTCTTTGGCATTTTCCTAACAGGATTCTGCTTAGATAGAACTTCTTCTGAATGCTTCCCAGTTCCAAGGCCAGTTTATCTGCTTCCAACAAAGTACTTCAAACTTGCCCATCATAGCACCACCAGTATAATGTTATTTAATTATTTATATCAGCCAGCTAGGCCATAAGCAGCAGGAAGATAGGGATGGTTTTTGCCTTGTAACTAACACAGATAGTACCTGTTATGTAGTAAGAACTTCTATATCTTTTGAATGAAAGACAGATATTTGTTTTTATAAAATTACCAAAAATCCATGTAAATTTACTATGAATAGAATTCTTTCTTCAAGACAATAAAGAATATAGATATGAATTAAATTATTGGTCAACATTAAGAAAACCAAGTCAATAATCTACTAGGTTCTAATTAGAACAATACTAATTATTGTTCTATTGTAATACTAACAATACTAATTATTGTCCTAAAAAATAAATTTCAATGGATGTAGCTCATTAAAAATACTTAAAATTCATTACACTGATAACTTTTAGGAAATAATAGTGGATCAGAGTTTACTGAAGTCAATCATAAAAGGCTATTGTCTGAACATTTCATCTCTTATTTTCATAGGCCCACACAGAGGCTATTTGCTGTTGGAATCACGTGTTTTGGTTGTAGATCCTGACACATGCATTTTTAAGTGTGTTAATATTCTCAAAGAACTGCTCTTTTTATTTGTTTAGTATTATGCAAACTGCTCTGAATCTAGTTCCTTGCCGATTCATTTACTCGACTCCACTCCCTGTCCTTGAGCTCATTTCTCAATTTTATTGCCAGCTAGAAACGTAGAGCCTTGTTCACAAGAATAGCTGGAGTCAAATATTTTCAGCGTCAACACTTTCACAGTATCCTGACAGCTGTACGGTATATGCTGAGCTGTATTTTATTCCTGCTGAGATTATTGACATCCTCACACTTTTCCTGTGATTTTTATCTTTGCCAATGACATGCTCATTATAACTGTGCCATTTCTGTTTTCATTTTTGGAAGGGAGACTTGGATGAGGAATTTAACAACAGCATGACTAGAAGCTGAAGTGAAACTTAGCACCATTTATTCCTGTCTATCAAGGTCCCTCTTGGCCTTATCAAGGGTCTGGCAACGTGTGTTCCCACACCGTCCTCTAGTGGCTGACCCCAAGGGAGACCTGCTATCACTCTGCCACTGTGACGAAGACTGTCCTTTCAGTGCATGGACTTGTGAGCAGAGTTTATTATTTTTTAGGATGAAGAATTTTCTCCTGGGGTGTTTGCGTTTTCTAACAGTCAAATTAAATTTTACAGCATTGAATATACATCCTATGACTTAGAAGCATTCTTAGGGGAAATCTAAAAATAAATTTAAAAATCCATGGTTCTGGAAAAAATCCTAAAATGTATATCCATCAACCAACAAAGATTTACCAAATATAAAAAATATGCCAGACACCTTTGTAGGTGCTTGATATACATAAGTGAACAAAACAAAGATTCCTGCCTACAGGGACCATACATTCTAGCATGAGGACAACAGTTAAGAACATGGTTCCTTTTGGATTGACATTCAAAACAGACTGCTTGTAAATGTGATGTGTTTCAAAAATTGTACTACCAGGAACTGTATTCTTAACATTCAGTAATGTAACTGATGTTTGCCTTATCTTCTCTAACCTGCCTTCAGAGCAGGTTGGAAGTGACTGGCACCATGTCACCGGTACAGGGTACCATAGGCATTACTAGCCTCCCATGTGCTAATGTTGCTCACTCCAGAGTGACCATTCTGGAAAGCTATTTCTTGTCTTCCTAAATTGTGTGCCAAATGCAAGAAGTGTCTTTAAGTCCTCTTTCCACTCCCCTTCTCCTAATTCTCTTCCCTACACCAGCACTAACTTCACTAAAGTCTTTCTGAGCAGTTTTTACCTGAGGCTATGCTCCAGTTCTGCAAAAACAGGACTGGTTACTGGGAGGCCTCTAATTAGGGGAGAAAAATGGGTAAATAAGGCATCAGTTACTCTTATCATATTGCTTTACTGGAAAGGTGAAATTTTAAGGTAGTTTAATTAATCACTTTTCCACTTTCTGTTTTTTTTAAAAGAATGTAGTTTCTCCATATTGATGTTACAATAAATTAAACTATTGTATCTCCATTCTTGTGATGGTGTGTTTTATTTTTAACTCATTCGAAGGAGAGACAATGAACAGACTCATTATTTAAATCTACTGACTTCCTGAATTTTATGAATAGATTCTTTTTTTTTGAGAGTAATTTTTTTTCAAATCAGAATTTCAATGGCAATTTTATGCCCTCAGAAAATGTGGTTTATTTGAATATTTACAGTTTAATTTTTATTTATTATAATAAAAATATTCTTTTAGTGTTTATGTGGAATTATGTTTCAGTAGGATGAAGTATATTTAATTTAAAATACTGTTTCTTGGGTGCTTGGGTGGATCAGTCAGTTAAGGATCTGCCTTTCACTTGGGTCATGAACCCTAGGATTGAATTCCATGTCTCATGGGCTTCCTGCTCAGCAGGCAGTCTGCTTCTCCCTCTCCTTCTGCCACTCCTCCTGTTTGTGCTTTCTCTCTCATTTGCTATCTATCAAATAAATAAAATATTAAAAAAAAAAGAAATACA